CCCCTGACCATTAGGTCCAGTCGTGACCGTCTCTGGGGTTGCGGTGCTCATCTCACTTTATTGGCCGAGGGAGCAGGCGTACAGCTTCCGGGTCACGTGGCCAGCATGACTAAGCCGTTTCTGGCAAACCAGAGCAGCGCACGGAAATGCCGTTTACCTTCCTGCCAGAGCGGTACCTATTTATCTACTTGCACTTTGACGTGCTTTTGAACTGCTAGGTTGGCAGGAGCAGGGACCAAGCAACGGGAGCTCACCCTGTTGCGGGGTTTCGAACCGCCGACCTTCTGATTGGCAAGTACTAGGCTCTTGGTTTAACCCACAGCGCCACCCGTGTCCCTATGTAGATCTGTACAGGATAGCAAAATATCAGACTTCCACTTTTAACAACAACAACAACAACAAACAACAACAACATAAATAAAGCAGAGCAGAGCCATTCTCGCTCAACAGTATTCTGGCTGACAGACCTTCTCCCATCCAAGTTCTAAGAAGGGAGGTCCTTGTTTTGCTTCTGAGATCAGACAATTGGGGAGAGTTCAGGATGGTCTGGCAGTAGGGTGGGCTGACAGATTTTTATAGACAAACCCACAAACTCTCCAGGCCAAACAGAAACTGAGGCTGCATCTGCTTTCCCTTCCCCATCCATTTTGGGAAAAACATTGCTTGCCCATTGCAGATACCATACAGATTGGCTCACGTTGAACAGATCCAACGTGCAAGGGGGGGAGGCAGCTGTGGACTGGGTTGGGTGAAGCATCAATGTGAGGCTTACCAGCACACTTGTGGCCCAGGGGGACTATAACTTGGCTTGCTGTTCCTACAAGGCCCCTAGCCAAAAAAACAGAGGAGTAGCTATTTGTTTTCCCATAGTGAGGATCATAATATGCTGACCTTTGCTCAGGGCCAAGAAGGGAGCGAGACTGTTAAGGCTTAGGCAGTTGGGAAAAACAAACAACACACACGCACTTATTGCCATTTTGTTATTTATACAAAGATTTATACCTTGCTTTCCCCACTCCAAAAAAAGAGTTGCTTAAGGCGGCTTATAAAATATAAAAGGCATACAAAAAAACAACAATCCATCAGTAAAAACACAAATGCAGCAGAGAGCAAGAAAACAATAAACCCAGGCTGACGAATTAAATTAAATTGAGCCACAGCAGAACCAAAAGCCACTGGGAAAAGAAAGCTTTTATTTGCTGGTAGAACACAGAGAAGTCTTGGGGCAAGGAGTTCCACATGCAAAGGATCACCAGCTGTGCCTCAGAAGGCAATGGGCCAGCAGGAAAGAGAGGTTTTAGCCCTTCCCACTTGCCTTTTGTAAGGGGGGTGGTGGTCAAAGGAGAGCACGTTGCCATCCCTTCCGACTGTGCCCTACAAAATCGGACTGAGTTTCCATCTAGCTCCCCACAGGATGATCTAAGATACTGTCATTTTACAGTGTGATCCTATGCAAATCTGCTAGGAAGTAAGTCCCTCTGAGGCCAATGAGACTTACTCTGAGGTGGATGTGTTGGATTGCAGGTTTAGTTGAACATTACACAGTTGGGTTATGTTCTTTTAAAAAGCATACTATCTAGCTCTATGATATGGGTAGACGATATTCCAAAAGTGGCTGCACCAATGTATTCATATACAGTGGTACCTCGGGTTACATACGCTTCAGGTTACAGACTCCGCTAACCCAGAAATAGTGCTTCAGGTTAAGAACTTTGCTTCAGGATGAGAACAGAAATCGTGCTCTGACGGCGTGGCAGCAGCAGGAGGCCCCATTAGCTGAAGTGGTGCTTCAGGTTAAGAACAGTGTCAGGTTAAGTACGGACCTCCGGAACGAATTAAGTACTTAACCCGATGTAAAGGTATTATGTGACTTGACCCTGGATAGCTCAGTTGGTAGAGGATGAGATTCTTAAGCTCAGAGTGGTGGGTTTGAGCCCCATGTTGGCAGAAAGATTTCTGCTTTTGCAGGGGGCTGGACTAGATGACCCTTGTGGTACCCCTTGCAACTTGACAGTTCAGTGATTCTGTTTTCAACCTCTTCAATTCAAAACCAGGGTGCAACAGTTAACGTGGGCATCTGTACACACAAGCAGGAGTATCCCTTCGCATAGGCCTGAGATTCCTGTGAAAGGTGTAAAACCACAGAAACCTTGACAAGGAAGAACAACATCATCACAAGGAAAGTTGTTAAATGAGCTGGAGGTTTGGGTGGGGGGGAAGAAGACTCATTAATTACCTAGCAGTTCTCAGCTGTCAGAAAGGATAGGGACAGGAAGAGATATATGCGTTTGCATGTCTCTGCCAGGAGGGACAAGGAGAGCGGTTTCCAACATTTCTTGCCAACCTGTAGGCTGGATGCTTGAAACCTGCGATCCAGACTCCAGGAAAAGGCCGCCCTGTGTCCATCGCATGCTTGGGATATTGTGGGGAAGGAGAAGAAAGGGAGAAATTTCCCCAGCTGGGCCTTTTGTTTCCCGCAAACGGAGACTCTGCTATTTAGAAACAGGAGCCAGGGGGATTAGCGGCAGGGACAGCAGCAATCCCTGTCACCAGGCTCCGGGCGGCTTGTATATCAGGGACAGGTTGTACACAGAGAGATTGGAGAGAAGAGGGTGATGAAAGGAGAACAGGTGGCCTGGAAGCACACACAAAAACGGACAGGGAAAAGGAGGAGGAGAGAAAACAACCCTTCTTGTAGAAAGGACAGGGGGGGAAACCAACATTTTATAGGCAGGGATGGCCAATGGGCAACATTTATGTATGTAGTTTGCCATGGACATACACAGGATTATTTTTTTTGCAGGTGCAGTAGAGAAAGCAAATACTCTAGGGCTGTTGTTGTTGTTTAGTCGTGTCCGACTCTTCGTGACCCCATGGACCAGAGCACGCCAGGCACTCCTGTCATCCACTGCCTCCCGCAGTTTGGTCAAACTCACGTTACTAGCTTCTATAACACTGCCCAACCAACTCGTCCTCTGTCATCCCCTTCTCCTTGTGCCCTCAATCTTTCCCAGCTTCCCAGGGAATCTTCTCTTCTCATGAGGTTGCCATATTTCAAAAAGTGAAAATCCAAACTTGTCTAAGTTAAGCTTTCTTTTTTGCAAAATCTCAATAAAAGAAAAGAAAATTGAAGCTTTTGAGCTATTTTTAAGGAAAATCAAAATCAACACTTCCAGAAATAAAAATAATATCCACACTTCCAACATGGGTTGCCATGATTTCCCCCGATTTTTGGAAATTCCACCCGGATGTTATTTCTGACGGACAAATCCTGGATATATGAGCAAACATACATAAATGAAAGGTGGGAACAGGCAAGCTTCTCTCAAAACAAAAGAGAGGGATACCTGCTCACACCTTTTGCCTTGCATCTCTGGTTCTACAACTGCTAAACATGTACAGTGGTACCTCTGGTTACGAACTTAATTCGTTCTGGAGGTCCATTCTCTTAACCTGAGGTACCACTTTGGCTAATGGGGCCTCCCGTGGCCGCCACACAATTTCTGTTCTCATCCTGAGGTAAAGTTCTTAACATGAGGTACTACTTCTGGGTTAGCGGAGTCTGTAACCCAAAGTGTTTGTAACCCGAGGTACCACTGTACTCGCTTTTCAAAGTGAAAGCTGGGAACCTCGGGCTTATGCTTCATCCAGAGGGGGGTAACTCCCCCCCCCATTTTTATGCCTATGCTGTGTACATTAAACCCACTTCTAACAACCTCCTGTCCTGCCCTCCTCTCTCACACAGGGTAGGGTTGCCATACATCCAGAATTTCCCAACATAGTTGGAATACAGCAGTCGGAAACTGTTTCCAAATGGAAATCAGTTCAATATCTGGGAAAATCCGGATGTATGGCAACCCATGTCGGAAGTCTAGATTTTAGTGATTTTCCTTAAAAATAGCTTTTAAATTCCCTCTCGGGAAGGGGGGAGATTTTTGGGAGGGAAAAATAGTTGAACAACTTTGGGCAAAACTAAAAAAAACTCAACAGCCTCAGTCCCAAAAACACAGAGAATCAGGGTAACTCAATTTCTGTGCCAAACACCCAAACCCGTGAGCTGTACAAATCATGCAAATTAAGCTAATTGGCCTTTTTTGGCATATTTTGCTGAATATATCCGGCTTCTCCTGTCTGCTAATAATTGGTGGGTGGGTTGGGATAGTTCGTACAGTGCATCACAGTGCGAACAACAGCCCGCCCCCTTTTAAACCACACTAAGGCCTATAAATTATTTTTTTAAAGCAAACATGTGGATGGCAAGTCTACATTCTCAGTGTGCTCTGTTGTAGGCTGAAATTCCACATTCTGGTGCTTGTGCAGCACAACTGCAGAAGGAGCCTCTCCACACCCTCAGCCTTATGACCAGAATTGTGTACACTCAGTGCTAAAGGAATCTGAAGTGAATTCAGCTAAAACGAGTTTGCAAGTCCTCTATGTCATATACGTAATTTATTATACTCCATGGAAAGCCTCCTAGCTAACTAAAGTTCATCTCATAAAGGGAAGAAAGAGTCTCAAAGATATCTTTCTATTATCTCAGCCTCTGGCCCTGCCATAGGCAAGAGAAAACGCCCTGGAAAAATATGGAGATATTATTATTCATCACCCTGAGAATGTCTGATATTTTATTGTGTTTTTAATATTCTGTTGGGAGCCACCCAGAGTGGCTGGGGAACTCAGTCAGATGGGCAGGGTGTTGTTGTTGTTGTTGTTGTTGTTGTTGTTGTTGTTGTTGTTGTTGTTGTTGTTGTTATTCTGAGTCTTGAGTGGCATAGCCTAAAGTAAAGGTATCAAGGCAGTGTGTGGGAAAGCCCCACATTTTTGGCTATGGAGAACATTTCAGTTCTACGTTTTGGTTTATGTTTTCCTTCCAAATGTTCACCTCCTGAAAACTACAGACTGAGCGTCGTGAGAAACAATGCTATTTGTTAACTCATGACATTAATACAGAAGAAAGAGGGCAAAGCATGAACAGGAAATGGGGGCGCAAGTTCTTTGTGTCAAAGGGAGTCTCCAACAGGTTTGTGGTTCAGTAGTCTACTCTGAATACATTCGTTCTTCCATCCATAGGTTGAGTTGCATCCGCCTCTTCGCACTTTCTTCAGTGTCTGCCTCACTTCCGCCTTCTCCTTGGCTTATTCCCCGTCTACGCCCTCCTCCATCTCTTCCTGAGCTTCGTTGCTCATTGTGACCAAGACAGGACCAGGTGTTGTAGGTCCTCCATCGCTGGAAGAGCCATCGTCCTCTTCGTCCTCCACGGGGTAGAAGTGCCGAGCCGCTGACAGGAATTCATCTCCCACATCAAGGAGAAGCAGCCTGTCCTAGGGGAGGAAAGGTGACAAAAATAAAGAAAAAAGGTGATAGTGTTGGGTACATTGAGACCCCACAATAGAGCTGGCCTAAGACACCTGAAGTAGAAAATTTAAAAATGATGCCCACACCAAGCCAGGAGTAAATATCGGATTCAGTTACATTTCACCTCACAAGAATTGTGAGGTAAAATAATGGAAGGAGGGAGAATTGGCAATCCTTGGGTCACCAGAGGGCTCAGGGATCCCCCAAATCTTTAAGCAAACAGAAAACTAATTTTTGCCAGCTGCCTCTACCCCGCTTTTAAAAGACAGAGGACGTGAGGGAAACACATATAAAACAAACCGAAGAAATGGTCCCTGTTTGGGGCAGGGGCCAAAGTACTTCAAGAAGCGTCTGTCACGAGGGGGATTCCCAGGTTCTTAGTAGCACAGGCCTAATACTGAATGGGTAGGGTTGGAGTATGTAATTAACTACAAAGATACAAGTATCTGGTAATAAAATGTAAATTAGATTTATTAAAGGAAGTCTGAGTCTAAAAGCATTCAAAAGGGGAAAACGGAGATAAAGTGATTTATTGTTGTTCTGCTCTGACTGTTTTCTAGCTCGGGAGACATCCACCCTTTGTTGTAGAAAATAGTTCCCAACAAACTATTTGGCAGAAGAAGAAGAAGAAGAAGAAGAAGAAGAAGAAGAAGAAGAAGAAGAAGAAGAAGAAGACTGGAGCTGGCACACCCTTTATTTAATTATTGCAAATAAAGAACAAAGCATTCTTCTTCCCATCATCATCATCATCATCATCATCATCATCAATATACTGCCTTATACCCAGAGGTTTCAGGGTGGTTCATAAAACAAAATCAAAATATAAAACCACAAAATATATAATCAAAATTAAAACAACCTATAACCCCCCCCAAACCCCACATTTTAAAAGGGCATAGTATGCCAATGAAATCAACCAAAGTCCTGTTCCAGACAAAGGAAAAGATTAAACTGAGATCTTTCTCCCTCAAAGCGAGAGAACTGACTAACCAAGCAAACGCCACGTATTTTTAGCCATTTGCAAGGCTACCTGCAGAAGGGGGAGAATTTCAAAAGGCTTGCTTTGTCCTAAAGGCATCACCCTCTATGTTGAACAGAAAACTTGGCATCACACTCCCAACACTAGGAGGAGGGGAAATGTCACCCTTAATTTGGAGGACAAAGAGAAAAATATTTGGGAGAGGGTGGCAAGATATTAAAGGATTCGTAAGGCCAATCAGCATATTAGAAGGAGTCAACTCACAGAGGCTTCATGACACTGGAAGCAGTTACAGTGGTACCTCAGGTTACATACGCTTCAGGTTACATATGCTTCAGGTTACACACTCTGCTAACCCAGAAATAGTGCTTCAGGTTAAGAACTTTGCTTCAGGATAAGAACAGAAATCAGGCTCTAGCGGCGCGGCAGCAGCAGGAGGCCCCATTAGCTAAAGTGGTGCTTCAGGTTAAGAATAGTTTCAGGTTAAGAATAGACCTCTGGAACGAATTAAATACTTAACCTGAGGTACCACTGTATTTGAAAACCACAATCAGGCTACCTGGAGGAGCTTGCTTGTTGCTTCTACCTCCGTGGTAGCTTCTATGCCACTGTAGGTTAGGCCCACAGCTTCTGTCCCTGCAGTGATGTACTGGACAGACAAGCACATGCCCCAACAGAAGTTTCTACCGAAACCTTCCTCTACTTACAATGACAAAGAGGTATCTCTCGGGTGGACCACCACGATGCCAGCCAAAAATGGTTGTCTGCTCGGCCAGGGCAGTGTGGATCCTGCGGGCCTCTTGAGGATTGCGAAGGGATTCATATGAGGTGCTGGACGTGACAGTGAGGAGCCCATCTGCTTCAGCCTTGAACCCTACATTGGGAAGAGATCATTTATGCCCATATCCACTCCAAAAACCAACTCAATAAATAATAACAAGAGCAGCCCTGTTGGATAGGAACAGAATCCGGTATCCGGCTCTCACAGTGGCCAAGGATAGGTAAATAATAGTCTTCACCCCTCCAAAGTCAACAGAGAGAAGGCTCTAGTAGTTTTTAGTCATGGAACACTAAAACCAAACTTGAGAGAAATGAAAGCGAGTAAGGATAATAGCTCTCCTAACACTCTCCAGTTTGGTCTGTGGTGGAAACCCCCCAAGGACACTGTCAGGGAACTGACATCAGAGCAAAATAGAGAGGCGAGGCTCTCCAATGATGCCGGAGAAGGAACCAGTACAGGAGGAGAGAGGGCTCCCGCGGGGGAAGGAAAATCAGGTGACACCAGGAAGAAAGGAGGGTTGGAGAGCACTTCGGAGGGGAGGCTCCGAGACTCTTCAAGTGAGGTCAGTGAGGAGAGTGGAGGACCACCGATAGGCACGCCCACTCTGCGCAGAAGGCTGCCGCGCAGAGAGGCGAGAAGGAGGCTGTCCGTTAAGGAATTTTTATGTTGGAAGAAGTTTAGGAAACGCCCACTGACGGATTCTGCCAGCGACTGAAGCAGTCGTGCCCAAGGGGGGGCTGCTCAGCCGGGGAAAACGCAACCGCCTCACGCAGTTTGGAGCAGGTGGAGGTTACACACAAGCAACCCCAATTCCCATGATAGACACCATACCCAAGACTTCTAGGATTTGCTTCCATCGGTCCTTCATCTTCCGACGGATCTGCCGGTGAGCGATGATGTCAAAGCTCAAGCGTCGGTATTCCTTTGTCAGGATAAAGGAGACCATCAAAAGAATGAGCCACTAAGCTATGTTTTTCAGCAAAATGCCCACCGTCATGTAAAGTATGTGTGGAGAAAGGCCTATATATTACAGGGATCTCTAAAGGGCTGCTTTGTGTGTGCACCTACGTGTGCATTAACACACTGCACCCCACTGAGGCCCCTATTCCTAAAGGTCATGCCACTCATGCAGATTGCGTCTACGTTGCATCACTTTTCTGGCTCCCATCCATGGATGCAAACAGCAGAATGTGGCAGACAATTAAGGGGTACATCACTGCTCTTTCCGATGCTATTTTTGTCAGGAAAGGGTTGGATTCCTCCAAGAAGTTTATTTTGGCCCAATATAACTCAATGGAAGCAATTAGCCAACCCCACCTGCATAGCCCTATGCTGGTTTTTATTTGTGGGTCACACTAGAGTGCGACAGAACCTAGAAACCAGTTTATATTATTTTAATGCTTACATCAATGCATCACTGTATTTGTGGGCACACATACACAATAATTCTTGTCTGTGGACATCCTTGTCTGGCACTTATCCCTCCAGATGAACCAACCATATCCGACTGTACGTGGGCAAATGTCTTGCAATTAAATTCTCCCCCAAACAAAAATATTCCGTGTGCAAGGACAACAACATACCTCTGATCCCCGGTGCGTTTTTGACCTTTTCTCCAGCAACATGTGGAGTTTATGATCATCATCCCGTTCCACGTGAGTCTTGTCCACTGGTTCATTCCACAAGTTGACAGCCTCTAATTCCCGTCGTTTCTGCAACTTGTTGAAATACTGAAGTGTGTCGCTGCAACAGAAAGGTTACAAACAAACAAACAAATAAACAAACAAACAAACAGCATCACAATGGCTGCTCTTCAAACTGAGACAGGACTCCTAGGTCTACTTCTCACCAAGTTCTCACTCAGTGGAAGAGCACATGCTCCATCTCTGACATCTGTGATTGTCCCCTGTCTGAAACCCTGGAGAACCTTTGCTGGTCATTGTCAACCATACTGTGCTGCATGGACCAATGGTCTGGATCAATAGAAGGCAGCTTCCTAGGTACTGTATCTGGTATCTGGGCTTTATCACTTTGGATTGAAAGTGGGAGCTCATATGGGCAAATGCTTCTCACATAACCACCTCCATTTCTCCAATGAAAATAGGAAAGTCCAGTTCTATTTTTCTAGGAAAAGAAGTACTGGAACTCACCATGAACACTTCCCCTCGTTCTCTTAGAATGCAGTGACACCCACCTGAGAGGTGCTGGCAAGATCCAGCTGAAAAAAAGCCCCAGGAACATTCTATTCCGTACTCTCCAGCATTTCTCCAATGAAAATAGGGACGTTCTATGGAAAAGCAGGACATTCCAGGATCAAATCAGAAACCAGGACAGCTTCTGTAAATCCGAGATCGTCCCTGAATAATGGGTCACTTGGAGGGTCTGTTCTCTGTACAAAAACAGTCCCTGCACAGAGACAGTTAGCATATTGAGGTAGAGGCATAGTTTTCTCCCTGACAAGCTAATTGTTTTCATGCACAGAAACAGCATTTCTTTCATGTTGTGATTCCTGCAACTTCAGTCCAAAGCAGTACAGCCTGGGCACAGGTTTACCATTGTGGCGAGAGCAATGCATCTCTTTAGCCTGGTAAATACCAGGTTAGGATTGGAAACCTTGGATTTGAGCCTTGCTACGTACATACACAGAGCCTAGGACTTGCCGATCAGAAGGTCATGTCAAGTGCAAGTAGATAAATAGGTATCGCTCTGGCGGGAAGGTAAACGGTAAAAAGCCAATGCAATTCTGGGCTGCATCAATAGGAGTTTTAGCATCTAGATCAAGGGAAGTAATAGTGCCACTGTATTCTGCTCTGGTCAGACCTCACCTGGAGTACTGTGTCCAGTTCTGGGCACCACAGTTCAAGAAGGACACTGACAAACTGGAACGTGTCCAGAGGAGGGCAACCAAAATGGTCAAAGGCCTGGAAACGATGCCTTATGAGGAACGGCTAAGGGAGCTGGGCATGTTTAGCCTGGAGAAGAGGAGGTTAAGGGGTGATATGATAGCCATGTTCAAATATATAAAAGGATGTCATATAGAGGAGGGAGAAAGGTTGTTTTCTGCTGCTCCAGAGAAGCGGACACGGAGCAATGGATCCAAACTACAAGAAAGAAGATTCCACCTAAACATTAGGAAGAACTTCCTGACAGTAAGAGCTGTTTGACAGTGGAATTTGCTGCCAAGGAGTGTGGTGGAGTCTCCTTCTTTGGAGGTCTTTAAGCAGAGGCTTGACAGCCATATGTCAGGAGTGCTCTGATGGTGTTTCCTGCTTGGCAGGGGGTTGGACTCGATGACCCTTGTGGTCTATTCCAACTCTATGATTCTATGGTGTTTCTGTGCACTGCTCTGGTTTGCCAGAAGAGGCTTAGTCATGCTGGCCACATGACCTAGAAGCTGTATGCCGGCTCCCTTGGCCAATAAAGCGAGATGAACGTCGCAACCCCAGAGTCGGCCACGACTGGACCTAATGGTCAGGGGTCCCTTTACCTTTATGTACATTTATTCACAATAATTTTTCAGACTAAAAAGTCACCCTCAATTAAAGTAGACCAATTAATTAAAAGCTGATTAATAGAAGCATTTAATGTTGCAACCCTAGAATTAAAGTGTGCATATAATTCAAGAGGACTTTTGTGAAGGCACACACAGACTGTGAATCAAACAAAACACTGTACATTGAAACAGTAGCTAAACTGTGAAAGAAAGAAAGGCGGAATCCTTTCATGATGAATCCTGTAAGTTACATAACCAAAACACCATTAGAGGAGGAGGAGGTTTTCAGCAGGCTTGGGGGAATGCTAAGATTTGCAAAAGTAGAACTGAAATATTTAGACACAGAACTCTAATGGAGGAAGGAAATGCCATCTGGTTGTTGGGAGTGGGGATGAAATGGAATATCCTGGGAAAGGGTGGGGTTGTCTGGCCAACTGGGGCCCTAAACAGCAATATTCTGTACTTCCCACTTCCTGAGGGATGGATTCCAGAATTGCCAGCTTCCGTACAGCATCACTTTGAAAGCAGAACACACTTACCTTAATTTATGCCGTTGTCTGCCATTGCTTATTATAAATTTGGCAGAAGCTCGGGGCTTGCTAAATGAAAAAGTTGATTTGTAACACATACCCAACCACCAATGGATTCTTCTCCAGTTCTTCTTCTATATGGCAACAGCAGCTGCAAACTTTGTACCAGAAATTCATCTCTCTTGCAATGTGTTGTAAATGCTAAGACAGGCTCGAGACCAGCATATTGAAACGCAATAAAAACCAAAGTTAAAACAGAAGATGGAGAGAAAATGGATGGGGCAGACAGTAAGTCCAAGTAGTAAAGGAACTCTGCTTGGGGGGTGGGAAGGCAAAGGAGTTCTATGGATTCTCTTTAAATATCATCTGCACGTCATAAGCAGTGATCATGTGAGATTCTCCCCCTTCCGCCATAGCTTAAGGCCTTTAAAACAAACTGCAGAGTATGAAATAGTGTATTGTATGTTGCCTCCATGTTTATATGGAATGAAAAGTAGGTTTGTTTTTCGTATCTTCAAGAAGCGAGACCGCAGGATTGGACGAGTTGCGAGGCACAGTGGAGCCACATGAAGTCAAAGGAGCAGCGGCATGGAAAGGCAGAACAGAAGCCAGGCCTTGCCGTGCTATCCACTGGGAGAAATTCCGCCATCTGTTCCTTTTGCAACCAGCCCTTCTTCCAAGCAGCTCAGGGTAGCATAAATGGAGCCACCTCAGTTTATCCTCACAGCTACTTTGCAAGTTTGGTTACAGTGGGCAAGACAGTGGCTTGCACCCAAAGAGCTTCTTAATCGCCAAGTAGGTTGTTTGAACCTAGCAGGGCTGGTCCTGTCATTAGGCAGAGTGAGGCGACTGCTTCTGGAGGCTTATGCGAGGAGGCAGTGGTGCCCCATAGCTCTTCTTCCTGAGCTCCCCAACCATTCCTTCTGTTGGAGAAGAGAGTTGTGTGTTGTGCATCTTGCCCTCCCCCTTTGACTGCCTTAGGGTCTGTGCTTTGCCCTGTTGTTAGTATTGAAGTAGGATTCAGTGGACGTGGGTGGCACTGTGGTCTAAACCACTTGAGCCTCTTGAGCTTGCCGATTGGAAGGTCGGCAGTTTGAATCCCCGCAATGGAATGAGCTCATTGCTCTGTCCCAGCTCCTGCCAACCTAGCCGTTCGAAAGCACGCCAGTGCAAGTAGATAAATAGGTACTACTGTGGCAGGAAGGTAAACAGTATTTCCATGCGCTCTGGTTTCCATCATGGTGTTCCATTGTGCCAGAAGTGGTTATGCTGGCCACATGACCCAGAAAGCTGTCTGTGGAAAAACGCCGGCTCCCTTGGCCTGAAAGTGAGATGAGCGCCACAACTCCATAGTCGCCTTTGACTGGACTTAACTGTCCAGGAATCCTTTACCTTTCTTTTTTACCTAGGATTCAGTGGCCAGCTCAGTTAGCTACTAGAGGTGGAAAGAGCATGTGTATGGGCTATTTTGCCCATTGCCAGAGGTAGCAACATGTCTTGGACCAGCCTTGGGAGTTAGACTATGCCACATTCCACCTTAAAGTACTATGATAACAGTTTAAAAACAGTCATGGCTTCCCAACTGCCAAAGTGGATTAACCTGCAATCGATCCATAGTGACAGGGACCTCTGGGAACTGTAGCTCTGGGACAGGAATAGGGGTCCACCAACGACTCTCTGTTTCAAGAAGTCTTTGGAGGAAGTCATGGCTGTTTAGATCAGCCTTACTCTGCCCAGGATTAATAGAATAACCACATACCCATTTGCAATTCTTAGCCTCTTCCATTTAATTTTATGTCCCCACTTCTACTATAAAACTCATTTTGTGACATTTTGGGTCGTGCATGGATTTGTTTCCACTGGAAGGCCAACATCCTATCTTGTGCTAAAAATATATATATGCTCACAGGAGTAATCTACTCATGTGGACAGTAGATCTTCAAAGCTGCAACCCTGCAGAAGTTCACCACTTGGGCGGCACACTAGCTGTGCAAGTAGACTGCACCCGTGAGCAGTTTCTAAATGTAAGTTGCTAACTGGTGTTATCAGATCAGACTCTCTATATTAGAATTTTCCATCTGTAAAATGCTGAACAACAGTAAATCTGCTTCCCAGGATTGCTCCTAGGGCAAAAGCAACAGAACACTCTGAAATTCCCAGGCAAATGATCCGGGGAGGAAATCCCACTGAACACACGGAGATTTGCCCCTGGGAAAGCAGGGTTGTGATCATGCTGCCAAAACGCCAGTAAACTGTGTAATTGTTTTATTCCGCTTTCCAGATAATTACTGTCTCCCAAAGCAGCTCACATAAGTTAAAAGAGAGGAGGAGCAGGAGCTAGTCTGGAACACAGGGTTCAGCAATTAAGGTAAAAGAGTCAATATCATCACTGTGGTATATTCAAGTTGGTAGATTACCTCCGTTCTTCAGGGATGGAGATTTGAAAGTGAAGGGATATCCCATGCTAGGCAGAAAGACACATTGAGCCAGAGGAAAGTTGTCACTAGATTTTATTAGATCAAGTAACAAAGAATCAATGCAAAAGGCATATGTGTTATTCAAGTGGCTTTTTAAATGAGGTGTGCAGGTCCACTCCCCATGCACACATAAAAGAAAACAGTTTCTGTGCATTAGATTCACGAAGTCTGTAAGCCTCCCTTTTCACAGTCCATTTGAAATGCTTACGAACAACCCAAGGCGCTTTAATAAGATTAATAGCCGATTCTTAGAAACGGGAACTCGGGCAAATCTCCGATGCTGGCAAAAAATGCAGAAATATTGTAAAGCAAGTCACTTCGGACAACTTCCCTGGATGGCGAGCCTCTTTTTCATCCCTGGAAGCCTATCGTGGTGTCTGGAAACTCATCCCACCCCGCAATAGGAAAAGCTTCTTACAAGCCTCCCTATTCCGACAAAGGTATCAGATGGAGGGGACAGGACTTCCTACAAGTTCCACCCACTGCACAAAACACACAAACAGAGGCAAGGCAAAGGGGAGAAACCAGTATACAAAAGTATGGGGGGGGGGGCTCAACTGCTGAAAATACGCCTGCAAGAACAGGTCTGGCACACATGCTAGTTGCCCCGTTGTTGTGTAAGCCAGGTGTGCAGTTTACTCCCCCAATAAATCCAGTGCAGAATATATTTATTTGCTTTCATTTCAACCTTTTGACCTCAAGTCCTGCCTTGGGGTCTTAAAATGCACTGAGCGAGCAAGCAGCCATGCGTGACTCTCGCTACAAGACTAATTCTGATTCAAGAGCCTTTAAAAGTGCAGGAATTGCTTGAGAAGTCATCTCCCACACATACAAGCCAGATTGCAGTGGGATGGGAGAGAACACAAAATATCTACCTTAAGGCTGCAATCTCTGTGCAATCCCCCATACTACTTCTGCTGAAAGTTGTCCCGCTGAAGTGGAGAATCACAGGAGTCAGTGCGGTTTAACCCAAATGGCTTTGGACAACAGTTGACATTTGAGGCCAAGAACTTTGGACACTTCTGGTAAGTTGCGTGTTAGCTCTGTGCCAGGATTATTGCACTTATTATGTTGAAGCAAAGGCATTTCACTTCTGCCCCACCCTCCTGTGTCACAAAGCTGATCTTCTGAAGGGATTAGAAATGTCGATTCCACTCAAGGCAAATTCAGTCAATGGCAGACCAAAAGGCCTGTAGATGTTATGTCCACCACATCTCCAGCTTTCTACACCCAAACAAGGCGGGGTATGGGGAGAGAGACACAGAACTCAAGGCTCTGAAGATTGATTCATGAGCCACGTAGTTTTTCACCTGGAGAATACTGGTTATCAACAGTGAATGCAGGAGAGCAGAGGAAGGCAACTTAAGGACTTTGGGGAGCGAAGGAAGGAGGTTAATATAAACATCTGCTCTGGTGATAGGTCTATACTAGTCTCACTTCTATGGCAAACCCAGCTCATGCTTCATGAAACAACAGGCTGCTTTCAATGCTTAGCTCCGATAGGCACCAGGCAGGACGTTTCCAAGGATGCTCCTCTACTACTACTACTACACACACACACACACACACACACACACACACTGGAGTGGCAGATAAGGGCTCTGGCCTCTCTCTATATTAACAAGTCAATAGAACCGATTATAGATCTTGGCCTCCATTACTAACATTTGAAGCCTACTCCAGAATGATGAGGCCACAATCAAACCCAGGAACCACCAACCAACCACTGGGTCAGTTTAGTCTACGGAAGCTTATTTTAGAGTCTTTGCTACTCATGGGTAGGAGGAGAAACTGGAAAATAAAGCAACACGGAACTGGGAACAGCAATGCTTTCAAGCCAAGGTGTCAGTTTTGGTGCACCGCTGAAGACCAGGTACTTGACAGGGGGCAGGAGATTTCGTTCTCTCTGGCCATTACCAAGCATACAATAGGCAAATTTCATCCAAACATTCGGGCAGTAAAACCTGGTGACGCCGTCACAGCTATGCCGAAAGGTGGACGACCAGTAGCAGTGCCTGGGACACTTTCTGGCTTAACCTGCTGCACTTCAGCCGTGCGACTGTGTGTGCAGGTTATCTGGTGGTGCACTTCTGTTCCGCCATGGAAGGCAACTGGATAAGTTCATGGACGCACAAATCATGATTACACCCAGGGAGAAAGGAAGGGGGCTATACAGGTAAGCACTTAGCAGATTCTGGAAGCATGATCATGAAGGAATTTGGCACATCGGAATCCATACATGGCTCAAGTTCTAGTAGCAATGTTAACTTTGATCATCGGTGAAAGGCTTGAAGAAACCACCTTGGTGCTTCTCACCAACTAGCTTGGGCACGGACCACCTACTTTGTCTCGACCTCCCTCTTGCCATTTGGTCATCACCTTCAGCCCTTTACCTGGCTGACAACCTGAAGACACAAGGAGAGGCTCTTCAGCCTGATCCAGAACGTCAGCTGAGAGATTTTGTCTTTGTTCTCTGGCAGGAAGAGAGGAGAAGAAGAAGAAGAAGAAGAAGAAGAAAGATACTCCAGTTCTTTGGACCTTGTTGGGTTTGAGCACGCTCAAAAGGCAACATCAGAGCAAGGAGTTCCAAGAACCTAAGACCTCGCCATGACCTCCATAACACGTTTGCGCAGGTGGAAAACAAATTCCGTCATGGTGGCGCTCAAGCTTTGGTTGATGAGGTAGCGGGGAAGCCGGCCCTGCAGGAAGAGACGAAGGATGAAGCCAGAAAAGCATCTTCAATACTGATACAGGTTCTGAAGCTGCAGTGGTCTGCCTGGCCCAAACTGGCAGCATTTCTCAGGTCTTTGCCCAACATCCCCTTTGCTTGGAGATGCCACTAAATGAACCCGAGGCATCCAGTGCTAAGCATGTGCTCAGCCACTGCTCTCTTTAAGCTGGGGCAGTAGAAATGAACATAGGAATATAGGAAGCTGCCTTATGTGGAATCAATGCTTTGGTCCACCCACCTCAAGGGTGGTTCACATGGACTGGGCAGTAGCTCTCCTGGTTTTCATAAGAGAGCGTTTTCCCTATATCTACCTGGAGATGCCAGTGGCTCAGCTTGGGGCTTCTCCACATGCAAAGCATGAGGTCTACAATGGTGCTATGGCTCCTCCCCTTAAACCATAGGATTAAGAGAATGCCACAGAGAAAGGAACCGCAGAACTGAGCAATTTCTGATCCCAGCTGGCAAGCACGATAATCCTTAACTGTGTTGGTGGGTTGACAGTCACACCGCAACGTTTTGTTACAGGTAACACTGTTATGTTAGATATAAACACCACAGGATAGTATTACTATTACTACCACCACTACTACTATATTTATTAAATTTGTATACTGCCCCTATACCCATAGATCTCAGGGTGGTTCAGCGTAGGATCTCCTTAAAATCTCCCTCTTTCCTGCATATTCCTCTGTTCAGTACCTCTCTCTCATCTCATCGGTCCAAGTTATATCCCCAAACAGGGCACTCATTGCCTAGCAAAGCTATGCAATTGGTCTGATTCTGCATTCTGGAGGGAGAGCAGCCCTCGCCTCTTACTTGGACCATTCTCCAAGACACATCTTGATCCTCAGCAGTACAACCACATACATCAGAGGGGAGCAGGAATGGATTTTAATGGCACTACAGCATCTGGGCCACATTGCCGTTTGATTCACGTGAAAAACTGTTGCTGTGTTGTATTATATTATTTATGTACATCGATTTATTTCTTGGAGTTAAGAATAGGACTGGGATAAATTGTGTTCGCTGAGCCCGTATTTTATACAGTCTGTATATGATGTTTGTTTGTTAATGTGAGGTGTGATATGCCTAATAAAGGATTTTGAATTGAATTGAATTGAAAAACGTCTAATCAGGACCCAGAAGTTTCCAAGGTTTGAGACCTTGGAGGTGACAACGAGCCATTTAAAAAGCAAAACACAACAGTGGTAGAGCAGGAGAGAAATGGTCACAATCTGGCTCATTCAACTGAAAACACTCAAGGACAAGACACGCCTTACCTTGAGGTCTGTATTGAGTATCCAGAACAAGGTACAGAGGTTCGGATTAGTGGGACATTTCAGAGCAACGAAACCACCTGGACCATTTTCCGCTCTGGAAAAAACCAACAACAAGGGGGCGGGGAGGGTGAGAGTTGTCACAGCAGAAGCAATTTAATAGCTGCTTATTACCTAGAACAGATGTGTGGAGCCACATGCCCAGAAGCTGAATGTGGCCCTCTGTGTCTCTCCACCTGGCCTTCCAGACTCCCTAAGCCATGCCCCCTCTCCCCTGGCTTGGCCCGGAAGTGTTCTTTCCTGATTGGAATGTGTCCTTGAACTGCGGCCATGCCTCTCGCTTGTCTGGCTGGAGAATGGAAGAGTTTTGCAGAAACCTGGCCTTTTTCATTGGTGGGATATCTGCAAGAGGAATACCCACTGCCCCACCTACTTTTGCCTGTGGCCCCACCCCATCCCCCATCATGCAACCCTTGGAAGGCTGCCCATGGAAGAATTGGGCTTGATATAGAAAATCCTGTGCCCAAAGCAGTGTACTCTGAAATCATGAAAATATCAAGCACATACCAATTTTCCCCCTCTTATGAGTAACTGAATTCCCCCCACCCCCCGATACGGTTTTAGAGCCACACATTTTTTCAGTCCCCTACAAAGAAACCCACCACAAAGAAGGTCTTGACAAGTCTCCTCTTCCATAAATGTGATGCCATGTGACAAAAAACCCCTCCCTGAGCACTTTTCCAAAGATGCTGATACATGCAGCAGGGGTTTTATGGCATGGGCCATAGAGGAATGAGTTCTCACAGATAACTTGGGCCCAGGCCAGGCCATTAATGCGGCCTAGGACCCTCGTACCTATGGGACCGCCTCTCCTGGTATGCCCCGCGGAGGAACTTAAGCTCCATAAGTAACACTTTGGAGGTCCCAAGCCGCAAGGTGGTTAGATTTGTCTCAGCTAGGGCCAGGGCCTTTTCAGTACTGGTCCGGACTTGGTGGAATGCTCTGTCACAAGAGACGAGGGCCCTGCGGGACTTGACATCTTTCCGCAGGGCCTGCAAGACAGAGCTGTTCCGCCTGGCCTTTGGTTTGGACTCAGTCTGACCCTTATGTTTCCCTCCCCTTTTTGTTTTGATTTATGGGCTACTATTAAAATGAGGCTGCATTTTAAATTATATTTTAACCCGTATTTTAATAAATTGGTTTGTTTGTTTGTTTGTCCCCCCCCCCCATTATGTTTTATTGTAATTTTATTGGTGTTAGTCGCCCTGAGCCTGGCTCTGGTCGGGGAGGGCGGGGTATAAATAAAATTTTATTATTTATTATTATTATTAATAACTTCAAAGCCATGAGCATCTGTGCATGTGCTGCATTTCTTTGGAAGTGCCTCAGTTCCCATTTAAAAGAGGAAGCTCCTGTTTTGCTGGAGGAGTGTGTTTGCTGTCACCGAAAGCAAGTTTTACAAAAGAAATCCTAAGTCATCCCTGCACCCCCATCCAAGGGAAACTAAACACAGCCCTTGGAACTTCTTGCATAGCAAAGTGGAAACCAGAAAGGCAACAGCAGTTTAGAGGGAATGGTGTTTGGGAAGAGAAGAGCAGGGTGCAACAGGTGTCATGCCTGTTCCATTTCGGTGTATGGACACCTGAAGTAGAAAACTCATATTTTCAACCACTTCCCACGCATTTCAAATGCTAGAAATCCAATCAGCTTGATCAAGACAAAGAGACAAGGCGCGCTGTATTTCATCATGCGCATGCGATTTGGGGAATGTACGCTGCCCTTCTCACAGATTTCCCCCAACAGCTACGCAGACGCTGAGCTAAAGGCCAATGGCTTTTTAATGCTATTAGTCAGAAAAATGAAGTTGGTGAGCAAAGACACCCTGGCTGGTCACCTGAGGCAGAGGCTCTGAGAACAACAAAGGGGGCCTTGATGCTCAGGCAAGAGCTCTGCTCATCACAAGACAGCAGCTGGGAACCATTTTGTTGAAAAGCTGGTTTGAGTGGACACCTCAACACCCGCGACTTCCCCAAGGATCAAGGGTTACTGACTGTCAGTCACATGCAAAACACCTTTCTTGTTTCTCCATCTTCATGACACCTTCCCCTACTGTGCTATTTAGCACTGAAGAGCTCAGGTTTAGTTCTGGAGAAGGAGAAAGGGAAAAGGTGCCCTTTCCCCTTTGCTTCCTCCTAAAACTTCCCCATACAGTACAGGGAGGGGGATATTTTAGCCCTGTGGTGCAGATTCCTCTGAACCTGATGTCCACCTCTCCAGGATACTAAACAATCAGAGGTTCAGCCAGGCTAATTCCCTCTCTCCCCAACCCAGCTTAGCATTCTGTTGGTTCTGGAAGACATTCAACATAAGTCCGTGGTTAACCAGGTTGTTAATTCCCTCCCCTCTTTTAATTTTTTTTAAATTTCTAAATATCTTAGGAGTTCCCCTAAATTATGCATAAAACTACCATATAGTTTCATGTTGTCTCATTTCACATTACATACTAGGCTACCCAGTTTTAGAAGTATCCAAGGTCTTATTTTCATTTTAGGAAGTGCTGGTGTAATTTGCATTATGTCTTGTCCAGGTGGATTGTCCATGAAACTTTTTACTTTTCAGAAATTAAAAGTCAAAGACTTATGCACGATTTAAGCCAGTGCATCGGAGGAAACCTACAGGTAATAAAATAGATCAAAGCACCACCCATAGGACTCTTTATACCTGACATATTTGGAAGTAGGGGGACGTGCGCTGTGAACTGTTGCCATCCCTGATGAAATGTACCGGTCTCTCCTCCTCTCAATCCGACGCACATTTATGAAGTCCCTGGGAACACAAAACAAGAGGTCATCACCCTCCTTTAAAAAGAAAGGACTGTCAAGGGTCGAGGCCAAACCAGGACTCACCTGGGTGACACAACGCCAGCAGCAGCACCAGCTGCCACATCGTAGGATACAGTTGTGTTGTCATCAATCCGTTGCAAGATCTGTCGAGAAAGAAGAAAAACGAGATGCTTCCCTCTACCTCTGCTGACATAGATCTATCTAAGAAAACACAGCCTCTCTCTCTCTCCAGGAATACTGCCTATGGGAAAGACAGAGACCTGATGGGAAATGTTCAGCACCTTCACAAAAACAATTCCCAGTTACATGGGGTGAAACTGTGATAGCATTTGGTACAGTTGAGCACAGGGCTCCATGTAGGACTTTGACATCAACTAAGACAGAAGGACTCATGCATGCAAGAAAACAAAATCTAAAAGCTGCACCATGAACCACCTTGCAGAATGCCACAGAGAGCCTTAAACAGGGTTGGGTTTATCCCATTAGATGGTTTGCGCTTCTAAATCATTTTGCCACGCCTCAGTTCTGTTTCAACTAAATATGAAATTGTTTGCCCTGTGTGCCTGCTCCCCCGCAGGCACTTCAGGAAGAAACCCCACAACACAGTGCAGAAGTAGCAACCCATCCCTCAGCCATGCAAATGGTGTCAAACTCCCAAGCGGCAAAAGCTTCCCTGTTCACGCTAAGAAAGGTGAAACAAGGCACTCAGTGGCAGCTTCATCACAAGCAGCTTCTGAGGAGCTCAAGGAAGTATGCAGAAACTGTAGGACAGGAAAAACTTGAAAGGTTGCCATGTCCAGCAGAGATCAAGGAAGGACCTCAATATACAATCCACCCTAGCCCAAAACTTCCTCCCTAAGTGGGCAACACAGACAACAATTCACAGCAGTGAGAGATGCACATACAAAAGGTTTTCGTTTGTTCCTGGTGTTGCCCCTCATCAGAGACTAGAAGAGATCGAGAGTGACTAAAGCCAGGAGTTAAAATTTAGGGATAAGTAATTAGCAGCTGAGTTTGCCAAGACTTACCTGGCATGCTAACAAGGTTTTATTCCACAGGACCATCTTCTCCGGCTGAAGAATCATCTCCTGGTAAACTATCTCGGCAGGACACTGTAGAATTGCCTGCAAGGGAGGGAGGCTTGTTAATCGCCCAGCTCTCTTTTACTAGCTCTGCCCTGTCCCTCTGAGGGGGGTTTGCCTACAAAGTCCCCCAAGGGATGCAAAGGGAACCTAGCTAGGAAGAGGCGACAAGCAGCCCCCCCCAAGCCTCTGAAGAGTCCTAAAGAGCCTTGAATATGGGGAGGAAAGGGGCAGCAAGAATGGATAGAGGGAATAAATAATGAAAATGGATGAAAATGCCTTATTTTTGCCTTGTGGTTTTTCCTATGCCTTGCAGGGCATGGGGATGCCTGTATGGAGGATGCAAGAAAGGTCATTTAAATGAAGACTCCTTTGATGTGTGAATTATGGGTGAGCATGTGGATGTATGACTGTGACTTTGGCCTAATCCGTAGCCGGCAAGTAGACCATAGTAAGTAATGCCGAAGGGACTTCAGACCTTGGGCTGAAAAAGGTTCCCAGCCCCGATTTGTTGAAAAAGGAAGACCGCTGCCACCCAAGTTCTCCAATGGGAAAGTTTTCCAAGAGGGATGAAATTAACCCAAGCCAATGGAAACTAAAGGATGATCTCTGGGAAGCTTAGTTACCCTGTGGCAATGGTCTTATTTCCACTGGGCAGCTCCCAAAAAATGAAAACACAAGTTCAGTTCATGCTTGGCAAAGCGAGCAGAAACAAAAGTTTGTTTCGCTGCTAGAAGCAAATTAACACCCCCCCCCCAATATCCCCAAAGAGGAACCCAGACAGAATGGACGGCTGCCTCACCCATTCTGCTTCCTCTCCCCCAATCCTACAAACAACACTCCTTCCAGATTTTAATTCCTGTGCGACAGCCTCCACACCCCCCAACTCTTTTTAACTGAAGACTGAATTCTGCAAGTCATTGGCTTCAGAGGAAAAGTCAAGGCAACTTACCTTCAGGATAAACACCTTGCCGTAATACGGCATTTCCAGAGAGTGAACTGTGTCGCCAAACTCCTGCATGAGAGGGGTGGAGGGCACATGAGTTCCACAGTGGAAGGGCAGAGCTGCTTTTGTGCAGGACTGCGAGAACTTCCAGCATTGAATTAGGCCTCTTGCCCATCGCTAGGACACAGGGCTGTTTAACAGCATGCTAATATTCTACCCTCTCCTCTAAGCGCCAGGTTTCAGGGCTGCTATCAGAAGATGCACAAGTTCAAGGTATAAACCACGGTAGGAATAGCAAAAGCAGGAATAGGAAAAAAACCCCAGGAATAGCAAAAACATGTATCTTTAAAAATATATATATCTCAAGAGGGGATAATAATAATAATAATAATAATAATAATAATAATAATAATAATAATAATTTTTATTTATATCCCGCCCTCCCCAGCCGAAGCCGGGCTCAGGACGGCTAACAACAATCAAATAATCAAACAATCAAATAATCCAACATTCTAAAAATATTTCATTATAAAAATTAATTAAAATCAAGTTGATGGCAACCATTAAGCAAAATTCTGTGCAGGTTGCCAGAGGAGGGAGTCAGGCTGCGCCCTGACCAAAGGCCTGGTGGAACAACTCTGTCTTGCAGGCCCTGCGGAAAGATGAGGATGAGGAGTGTCGAATCACACAACTGCAACATTACTTCTTTTTGAAAATTAAAACTCATCATCCTAATTTTCTATGCTGTTTAGTTGCAGAATAGGCTGTTAAGTGGTGTGCGAAATAAAGACAGTACCGCTATTTCACCATGTGGGGGAGGCATTTAAAAGAGCAGCTACCGAAAAACAAGGCTCTCTCATCTCATGGCAAGGCTCCCCAAGATTCTTAAAAGTAAACATGCTAAGGTTACACGCAGGGAGAGCAGAACAGCCCTACCCAGCTTAAAATAGACGATTACTTCTTTTCGAAATCTGATCAGAAGACTGACACCGCTTCCGCCCTCCCCCCTGCAAGGGCGATAAGTCATCTTTCAGGAACCATAAACTTACACTGCATCTCTCAAATGTCCAGTTCTCCTCTTGGGCTAAGATCTGGTCGACCACCTCCATTGCTGCTTTGCCTTGTTGTATGTATTCTCTTTCCTAGGACAAAACTAACAGTTAATTCATTTCCTAGGACAAACAGTCCACAGTTCAGGGATAAAGCACCAGTTCCACATCCTCTGAGCTGCATCCAATGCTAGTCCCGGGCCCCGTCTGCACCATACGGTTAAATCAGCACCATACCACATTAAACAGTCATGGCTTCCCCCAAAGAATCATGGGATATGTAGTTTGTTAAAGGTAAAGGGACCCCTGACCATTAGGTCCAGCCGTGACCGACTCTGGGGTTGCAGCGCTCATCTCGCTTTATCGGCTGAGGGAGCTGGCGTACAGCTTCCGGGTCATGTGGCCAGTATGACTGAGCCGCTTCTGGCGAACCAGAGCAGTGCACGGAAACGCCGTTTACCTTCCTGCCGGAGCGGTGCCTATTTATCTACTTGCACTTTGATGTGCTTTCAAACTGCTAGGTGGGCAGGAGCAGGGACCGGGCAACGGGAGCTCACCCTGTTGCAGGGATTTGAACCGCCGACCTGCTGATTGGCAAGTCCTAGGCTCTGTGGTTTAACCCACAGTTAAAGGTACTGAGCCATTATTCCCCTTGGAGCTGTAATTCCCAGAAGAGGGGAATAACCAGTCTGAGAACTGTAGCTCTTTTGAGGAGAATAGGGGTGGCAACTGGACCTAACGGTCAGGTGTCCCTTTACCTTTACCTTTACCCACTCTTAGCACCCTTAATAAACGATGGTTCCTGGGATTCTTTGGAGGGTAGGCAAGTGGTATGATACTGATTTAAATGCATAGTGCAGATGAGACTGTACTCAGAGTAGACCCATTGAATTGAGTGAAACCAAGCCTCTCCACCAGCCTAACACCCCCCTCCCCAGCTCGCTTTCAGTGTTGCCTTCCTGCTTCTTCCCATCCCCACCTGGCAGCAGAGGGAGAGCTGCTGCAATTCAACTAGGTAAGTATGTAAGTGTGGCTTATCATATGGATGCACTGGCTGTCGTTCAATTGCTCACATGGAGTGAGCAGCAACTACCTCCAGGCAGGATAAGGTCCTCCCAGGATGCAGGCACGTATCCAAACCACATCAACACTGACCCAGAAGTTTGAAAGAAACCAATAATGGTCTGGCAAAAAGTATAATTGTAAATGGGCTACCAACGTTTTAACTGATTCTAACACTGCATTTCTGCATTGTCGGAACCTTGTGGTGAAAGGCAGGTAAGAAATAATAAAAGTAAACAAAAGGTGATGTATGGTGATGCACAAAGTAAATTATTTGGAATGCTCAAAGTGAAAATTCAGAGTCAGCTGCTTTGGATTAATGCTGCCCCCTGGTGGCGAACAGGAGATGAGAGAAATGTTCACATCATGAAACAGACTTCACACACACACACACACACACACACACATATATATATATATGAGAGAGACTTGACTTCCACAAAACAAAGATTGGGATTCTGAGAATTCTGAAGCATTTCACACTCTCCTCACAGAGTTTGAGGGTAGTTAATCAATTTGATACGCTAACTAGAAAAATTTGTTATAATCAAGACTCCAAGGCTACGTGTTGGTTAAAGAACAAGAGAAACAATCCATGTTTTTCTGGCAGTCATCTGAACCTTTACCAAAAGACGAGGAGGAGAATGCTCATTGTGTGTGTGTGTGCGTGCATCCATGTTACCTAAAATAACACAATGGATGCTCTACTGTTGTGTCTGCAGTTGCGCTGCAAGTTGTGAGAGTGGTACAGGCCTATCTAAAATTACTGATGCCTGAAGGCACTGAACAGGTCGATTCCGGAAACCAAAGTACATTGGGAACATAAGCGTGGGAATTATATTATAGTTACTATGAAATGTGCATGCATTAAAAACAGGAACACAGCGTGCAGAAATGAATCTTATTTAAAGAAGCTTTTGGAAGAATGCATGCATACACAAAAAAATTGTGCATAAATAATAATAATGTCATTTATGAAATTCAATTATTGCTTTTTAAAAAACTGGTGACTGGGTGTGAGTACATACAAACACCTAACCACTACAAACCACCTGGAGTTAGTCTTAAGCCTACACTGGTTTCCTTTACCCATCAACCTGGCTGCCAGAGAGGACAGTGGGCTTAACATAGATCAGGGGCAAATGGAGGCTGAGAGACAGTGGATTAGCTGAGTTACCCCAGCCTCTTCTCATAGCCAAGCCAAAATTTAGACCAGGGGCTTTCTGGCCCATGCGATTAGCCATTATGCTACACACCAGCCCCTCAACAATGCATTACCCCTCTTGCTAAACTGAGTATGTGCCTGTGATAACCATTTTGGTGGGCCACGTATGCTGCCAAAACATTTACGGAATGTACCCTGTGTGTTGCGAATGAAAGTAACAGCGTTCAAACAAGGGCTTGTGGCTAGGGACAACCCTCCTACGCCAAGGGAAACAAGGTCAAGGTCTATTAAACCCTACCTGTAAGGCATGAATGAGCTGTAGGAAACAATTGCGTTTGCGAGATGCTGTCCATGCAGCCCCCACAACACTGAGGTGTATTTCTGACCACGCTAGCAATCTTTGGAAACTGAGGCTTTTCCACCTGATTGAAAGCAAACGCGAAAGGGGCTACATATTGCTGCTCAGCTCACATAAGGCTTACCCAGTGGCGTAGGAAAGGTGTGTGTGGTGGGTGCGGACTGCCCCGGGTGTCATCACTGAGGGGTGGTGGTAACAAAATGACAAAAATGTGTGTTTTTAAAATAAACAGATCAATAGATAGATAGATAGATAGATAGATAGATAGATAGATAGATAAGGGGCTCACAACACTTTTTAAAAAAAAAAAATAACTCCTGCACCCACCGCACGCCCCTTCCTACATCACTGCAGGAACACTCTCCCCTTGAGTGATTTCCAGAAACCAGAAGCACTGCTGCCTCCAACTTGCAGACAGAGCACAGCCTTTATGGCTAGTAGCCTTTGACAGTCCTCTCCTCCATGAATCTGCCTAGGTGAGGCGGGGGGCACTGGGCGTCACACCGCATGGCCCGCAGCATGCTGAGCCATGCATCTCTCCTGAGGGGGAGGCGGCAGGTGAACTGCCTGCAAGCTCCGTGCTGCTTTTTCGAGTCTGCCCACCACCTCAGCCGCCCTACAGCTGAGGGGGAGGCTGCGGAGAGGCTCCACGCAGCACGCCCTGCCTTGGCTTGCCCTGCCCTCATGGGCAGCTGGCTGCAGGACGCACCGGACACCCGAGCAGCTAGCTACGCCACTGGGCTTACCTGGTCGGTTAATGTCCTCTTTCCCAAAAGTTCATCATCCGAGTCATCTGATCCTAGAGAATGAGGGGGGAAAGGAAATGTTTAAAAGTTAAATGATGGGAGATCTGGAAGTGTTAAAGCATAGGATACGAAGCAGCATTGCACAATTTCAAGGCTGTTTGTTCACACAAGTTCATCTTTAGGAATGACAGGCATTTACTGTCCGTTGGCTGCTGAGCAAGAGTCAATTCTCCTGGATTTCTGCCTGAGTCACTGGTCTTAAGTGTGCTGCCTGACTGGAAGGAAGCCCAGAGAAGTAATTCACACAGAGATGCAACAGGTAGCCTCCTTAGAGGATGAACAATAGTGCTGCATCTCTGCATTGAGACTGAGTGACAGATCCCAGTGTCACCTAATGCAGATGCAACAGAATTACCTCTTCCCAATTCAAATTCTGCAGAAGACAAGTAAGGCCAGAACACTGGATCATGCAAGGACGCAATGGGCTGCCTCCTGTGTGGACAGGAATATACAGCCCACAGGACCTTTTGGTCCATGTATTTCTTGCAACACACTACTATTTCCCAGGAAATAGGCTGAGAGTTCCTGAAATAACCCTTTGTGCTCTCCCTCTCTCTTGTGAACAAAAGCATGGACACTGCAGAAATGGGGCATATGGGATGTACATGTTGTGACTGGCCTCTTCTTGTAACATAGAAGTTAAGAGAGCTTGGCTGTGCTCAAACAAGCTTTAGACTACTGCAGCTCAGAAGAGGAGTGGCAATCTCGTGTGTTTGCAACTTTCATATTACACTCCAATTTCATTGTTCTGTATGGGACAATGACAATAAAGATATTGTATCTTATCATACACATTAACTGACTGGGAAAGAGAGGAGTGAGTTGTTGTTGTTGTTGTTGTTGTTGTTGTTGTTGTTGTTGTTGTTGTTGTTGTTGTTGTTGTTGTTTTTACCAGTGCTCAGTTAGAGACAGACTTTCAGAAATACATCATACACAAGTTTTTGGAAGAAATGTCATTACCTGCAACGGATTCTGGAGGGGAGTAGAACTGGCCATCTGAAAGCGCCCCTGAATAAAGGCGGGGTCCTCGGGCCACAGCAGCTTGAGCTGCCAGGTACCCTGGAAAGAGATGGGGGTGGAAATCAGCTCATTTATATTGCATTGCATTTATATCCCTGGCTCAACCCTTGTGACCCCCAGATGAGGGAGGAAAAGCTGTTTGAGAAAGGGCAAAACTGTGCTTGAGAAGAGCCAGCAACCCTCTCAGTAATTCTGCCTCCCTTAATAAACTGAGAACAATAACTTCATTGAGTTATTGGATGAGCAGCTCGGAATGAAAGACCAGGGAAGCACAAGCCCTGGAGAAAGAGGCAAAAGTTGGCCTCCTAAGCTTGAACGGAGTGGAGAACACCAGGACTGGGCTGGGCTGGCCTCCTTACTTGGTGACTTGAGCTGAAGATCTGCCCAAGCAGGTGTGGGAAGGGGGAAGAGCTAAGCTCAGTGAGAGGAACACGCATGCTGAAGCATTTCACTTCCAGCGACTTCAATTTGCAGGTTCTCAACCAAGTACTGAGCTTGCAGAAGGACATCGGCCTGGATTTTAAATACGTGGGCCCTTGGTTGTCGAGGGAGACCACCAGAGTCATATGGAACAGAACGGATCACCCTCGACATCCTTTCCAACCTCATTGTGCCTGCACAAGTTTCTAGCCCTCATGGTTACGGAAGAATACTAGGAAATATCTTCACCTCATTGACTCACTATACGTTTTAACACATTGCAAACTCTGAATCACAGGAAGAAAGCCAAAAGGAAACCTAATAAATGTATGCTGATGCACTTAGTGTATTCTAAACATGGACATTTTGTTGCACAACAAGGCAGTGCATTGTCGCTTAACACACTCAGACACCTTTGCACAGATAGGCAGATTTATCACCACCCTTTAGGAACTGGCCAAGCTGCTTCCCCCCTCAACCTTTCAGCTGGAGACAAGACATGTTATCTACATGGAGAATGATGGCCTCTTTGCCTATCATATCTCCAAAGCAATTAAGCATCTAATGCAATAGAGAGCTTTTTCCTCCAAGCAACCCTGAGCGTTTCCCTAATCCAATCGTGGCAAAGTGCTTGCTTAGTTTTGTCGTCTTTAAACCCTTTTCTCTCAACATGCAAAAACAAAACAAAAACAAAACCCCAAAGACACAGAACGGAGGAGTAATCTTTTGCATTATTTTGCTTTTCAATGCTTTCCTCGCATAGGACTAATCTAACATATTAAAAGGCCTTGAGGCATCAGAATGTAGATCCAGCGATACCTACTGTAAATACAGCAACCTGCTTCCATGAACCCTTAAGGTCATCTGCTTTCTGAGTGCTGCCACCCTCACCCCCCTCACAACACATGGGACACGACACTAGCAGGGCTGTCAAAACCAATTTTACCGGGGTAGGAGATTTCTTCCATTCATCCATCCTCACTCAACACAGACTCACATTGCTCTTCCTCAGCCTCTTGGGGCAAGACTTTAAAATCCAGAAACCACGTTTCCAGCCAGGCAAGGACAAAGGAAATGATGGGCAGCAGATAGCCAAAAGCCCCTTTGTTCAGCAGCTGTTGGTGGAAAAAAAAGGAGACGACATGATTCATATGAAATGATCTCCAGTATTTGTTGCGGAACAACTACACCCAAAGCACTTGTAACCATCCATTTGTACCCCCAAACCAACAAGCAGCCCTCAAGTTTAAAATGTTCCCATTTTTAAAAAAACTGAAATTTTGCATCATCTGCTTTTAATGGCTTGCAATTTGCGCCGAGGTTTTGGAAAGGGACCATAAAGATTTAGAGCAGAACCCATGTTTGCTATCAGCAACTCACATCCGAAAGGATAACTTTCACAATCAGGAAGGCACTGGACACCAATGTAGTGATCTGGAGGGTGGGGAGAGAAGAGAGAATCCCATGAACAAACAAACAAACAAACAAACAAACAAACCGCAGCTGCAATTCAATGTTATGTACGTCTCTGAGAGCAAGATAAAAAGTTGACTTCTTACCGCAATGACCCACCAGTGGCGGAGCTTGAGGACAGCATATCCCAGGAGCAGCACCGAAAACCGGAAGAAAGCCAAGAGCTGATAAGAAGGAACACAAGAGGCAAATCATGAGAAGGCCACTGTGAAGGTCTCAAAAACGCAGAGAAGTTAAAATCTCTTTTTATGAATCAATCTCAGCTGGCACCAAGAATAGGCAAACTTTCAGGCTTTCACAGGACTCTTATCCAGGTAGGGCCTAACAGACAAGGAGTTCTGTGAAATGCACAGTCTACTGAAGCTGCCTGTGTACTGACCTCATGGCTCCTTTGGCATTCCCCTGCACTCCGCCTGCCATGCCCACCCCCAGGTCTCCCCTTGGCTATTACTGCAAGCGACAATTTTGTCAGAATACTTACAAATATGTCAAAAAAGGACGTTTTAAAGTTGTACTCGATGATTTCATACTTCAGACTCTCCTGGATGCTTTTGGTTGCCTGCAGATTGGCAAGATTAAAGTCAAATAAATTAAGACACACCACAATGCCAGCCTGGGACTTTTTAATGCAGTGCTCCGACCTGTAACCATTTAAAGCCTGCTCTCTGTGAGGATCAGCTGAGCATTCGAGCTCCCACAAAGAGTTCGGTCGTGCAGCTGATCCAACCACGTCTCTACTGCCCCACACCAAATATCACATATAACATCACATGTAGGGCAGGTGGGCATGGTTTGGAGAAAATATCCACACAGGCCAAATTGGGATCCAAGCTAGAGGTTCCTCAACCCTGACTTTTAATATGCTGGTGCCAGCAGCCACTGCTTCCAGGGGAATCATAGCATTGCTTTATATTAATGGGTAGGGTTTTCCTGACGCTTAGTTGAGCCATCTGAAAACATGTGAGGTCAGGAATTTTTCCTGCAAGGTCAGATTGGCTCCCGCTTCTGTAGCGTGTAGGTCACTTGCTTGAGTCATCGGTCTTCCTGCCACAAGCTTGCAGCATGCACTGGTCCAGATTTGTGTGGGTTTCTTTGTGGGCGAGGACAACATTTGGATTTATCCTTCCTTTCAGCCCAACGATTAGAACAGTTCTAAGCAATGACTCACTGCTTATCTCAGGCTTGTTTATCATTTAAATCTGGGACTAACAATTTGCTAACTCAGTTCAGCCTCTGATTTGGTTTACTCCTTCTGAGGCCGAAATGAGCTCACAAAGAACCCTCGGGTAATAGGAGGGGGAGGAAGAAGAGTTCACTCTTTTTCTACCTAAAGATGAGCAGTAAAACAAGGACTTGCCACAGTGTTAGAAACTCAGATATATAAGCTGATATCGCCAAATGGCACCTTAAACCTGAGTTACAGTCACCACAATGGAATGTCTAGGCACATTTTCTTTTTAGTGAAACATTATTATTATTCATTTTATTTCTATCCTGCTTTATATTTAAAAGAAAAATTCTCAAAGCCATTTGTAACACATCAAAACATCAAATAAAACAAATGCAAGTTCAAGAAAAATATTTCAGATTCTTCTCTAAGTGACATTTTTATTTCCCCAAATTTATCTATCTACTTGAACTTGTCCCATAGCATAAGTACTCCAGGAAGCCAGTGCAGTGTAGTGGTTAGCGTGTCGGACTGGGACCTGGGAGGTCAGGGTTCAAATCCCCAATCAGTCATGAAGCTCAATGAGTGACCTTGAGCCAGTCACTGCCTCTTAACCTACCTCACGGAGACATTGTAGGGATTAACTGAAGACAGAGGTGAGCCATGTACTCCTCAGAGGAAAAGGTGTGAAATAAATGCAATGAATAAGCTCTTCTGCTTAAGAAAGCTGGAGAGGCCAGCCAGATGGAGATTTCAGCTGCCAACCTGGAATCTAGAGTTCTCCACGTGGTTCCAGTTGGACCTGCGCCACTTGCAAAAGGCACCCAGCACATGGCTAATTTCTAAGAGTGATTTGCAACTGGGTGACGGTTAGATCTCTGATGCCCCTTCAAGCCGTTATGTGGCTGGGCAGGACAGCCAGATCAGCAGCTCCCAACTCCCTCACACACATGCAACACAAAGGTCTGAAAGGAGGGAGGGAGCTTAAGCATGTGCAGGCTTCCCTGTGATCTTGAACCCTGAGTGTTAAGAGCCTGTGAAGACTCCCTCCCTTTAAACGGTTTGCTCTGTACATGGGGATGCCATGCGGAAGGGGCTACCTGGCGCAGCCCAACTTCCTGTCCACTGTGTACAGTTCCGCTGTGTGCAGAAACCTTGAATGGGGCTTCAATCTCATGAGTTGCTCTTGGCCCAAGCAGCATCACCACCTGAGCAGACTCACCCTGGGAGCTGACAATACCCGACAACGGACAGACTTGTGGGCTGCGATGAAAGCAGCACACTGACAGCTCAAGGCAGAGGCGGTGAGGGGAACCAGCACGGAGGAGTCTGGCACACTGCTTTCTGCCTGCATGGACTCTCAGAGAGAGGCACTCCCTGTTTTTTTGTTTTGTTTTAAACTGAGCCTGACTCACTGCCGTTGCTATATGAACATGTTCAGGGACAACCACTTCTGGGATCCTTGTTTAGCCAAACCCCGGGGGGAAGCAGGAAACCATATTCACAAAGGCCAGCTCCTCAACTCACGTTCAGTTCAATTATCCAGAGGAGCGAGACGAAGAGAAGATCGAAGGTCACAAAGAGGCAGAAGGTCCGACGCACGTCAGAAATGGCTCGCCTCCTCTCGGGAGAGAAGAAGTGGTGCGGGGAGAGGCTGTGGGAAAGAGAGGATGCAATGGCGGGAAGACTCTGCTCCAGGTCACCGTTCTGCAAGCCCCACAGCTTGCTCATCCTCAGGCAGGAGGGTGAAAGGGTTGGCTCTCGGCGTGCAGACGTGTCATCCGTGACTCTCTCAATGGCTCATCTGCAGTGGGGGTTGCAGGGGGGCTGGAGAGAAAGAACAGGGAAGTGAGATCGTCTTGGTATTCTGGCAGCAGAGGGAAAAGGGGAAGAGAATGAGATCAAGGTCCTCAGCAGGAAACCAAAATGCAGGTTAATGCTTTGGGTGCACGTAGTGACAGCCAAGAAACTGAGAGTTATTTACACCTCTCAAACACACCATGTTTCTTTTCCTTTTTTTGCTATTTGTTTTTCTGGGTTGAATAAAAAGGAAGCATGAAAACGCTGGTCTACCTCATCCCAGTTTTTGTTCCTTGAAGCCCAGATGGGAGTTGAGGGAACTGGGCCCTCACTCACAATAGCTGCAACTGTTATATCAGATGGCGGTTCAGAGACTTGGAAGGAACCAAAGGTCATCTAATTCAATTTCCCTACCCAAAAGGCAGCAGAGCTGGAAAAAGATTTTGCAATAACTAGACTCCAGCAGCAGCTACTGGCCAAGTACACCCCAAAACCCTATCTGCTTCTCTCTAATTTCCAGCATCTTTGGAGAACACCAGCCACCCACCCCACCCGGATCAAAGTATGACAGCCAGATCGCAGGTTTTCTAGATACAGTATGTCAGAAGATCCCTGTGCTTTGTTTCCCCCAGAGCTAGGTTCCATAAATAAGAAAGTAAGGCCTGCAGACATATGAAAAGTGAAGCATCCAAATAACATTTCATGCATCACGTTTTAAAGATGGAAAAGCAGTTCCCAAGAATGAATATGCACACGCACAATTTCATCTCCCAAGCAGTAGCTTTTGCCAGAGAAATATATGACAGCAGCAACTGAGAAAGGATTAGACCTTCCAACTGTAAACTTCCTGCAAGGGGGGAAAAGCCCAACACAATTTACACATGCAAGTGCCCTTTCATATGCATGCGTGTGTCAACCCCTGTGCAAATAAGACTCTTAAGCCACTTAGCTTCAACTGAAGGGAGGGAAATGTCACTTCACATAACTGAGTAAGAACTGGGACCTCCACTTTCTGCAGGAGACCCAAGCATCTCAAACGAAAGAAGAAGTTCAGCCATCTGTGATTCCTGAATAATACACATCGGTGCCTCTACCCATCTCCTCGCTCTGTGCAGAAGTCTGAACACCACTTAAGCAACTGTCATAGGATCCCTCAATAAAATTGCTCATTGCCACCCCCTGCCCAAGTGTATCTCTGGCTGAAAGGCAGAAGAACGAGGCTTTTTCAGAACAGGTATACAGCATCCATGAAGATGAGAGGTTAAAGGACCGTGGATTTTGGTCACCCAGGTTGGGGGAAGAAAATTCATGACTATTTCGTAGAGCTCCCTCCCAGGTAAGCATCCTTAGGATAGGATTGCAGTCTCCTGAAATATAACTGCCTTATTTTGTACAAGTAACACTGCGAACATACCCAGCACTAGAGAGAGCAAGCTGAAAAACTGTTCTACCGCATGCTACCTAAGCACGTGTAGCTTGATTTTTGCCATCTGAGAGGTTTGGGGGGAGAGAAATAAAAGGCTGAAAAGAGAAACCACCAATTTTGTAGTAAACAAAAGAAACCTCATGTCAAATAACATTTCACCCAGTCCAAGAGTTAAAATATTCCACAGATCCATTTTTAATGGCTCTTCCAAAATCCTTTTTTTTTCTGTTGGAAAAACTGAAAAAAGAGAGGCTACCAGAGGATAAGACCTTCAAACCCCCTTTGTGAACTCCTAAAGGCACTTATGTGGCCTGTGAGAAATATACTTATGTACAGCCTCCCTCTCCTCCAGGAAACTCTAGGTGCTGAACATAGTCTGCCCCCCCTCCCCATTTTTACCAACACACCCTGTGAGATAGGTTAGGCTGAGAGCCAGCAATTGACCCTGCTCTCCCAGGTCCTAGAGCCACACTCTAACCACTGCACGGCACTACAAAGAGAATGCTGGGCTAGACCGACATTCTTCTGATCCTGCAGGGCAGCTCTTCACACCAGACGTTCTTGACTCACCCCTTTCTTCTGGAGAGTGCGTTAACAGTAGCAGTGTTGTTCCTCCAGCATGTGACTGAATCATTGTCAACTCAGCTGGATTGTTTTGTTTTTCATCCCCCTTGACTCAGTTCGGTCCCTTTTGACATTGACGCTTAGAAGAAAATCCAACTGTTTTAGATTATGCTTTATAGGTTTTAAAAAAATAAAATCCAGTTTTAAAACAAGCAAGCAAGCAAGCAGGCAGGCAAACAAACAAGGTTGCTATCTGTGGTCTAGAAGACTGGGTGGGAGACTGGTTTCCAAAGAGGTTGAAAACAGAAGAGCACATTTGCTCTCTAGCCTCTCACCCCACTGCTTGAGGAACAAGCCTGTTAAACCCCAGAAGAGCCGAGCTGAAGACTTGAACGGACTCGATTTTCTTTGGCGGCATAAACCAACCAACCAAATATATCTGTTAAGCAGAATACATTCCTCTCTCAAGTCTCCACTTTGTTAGTAGGGCAATGCCACTGACAAGGGATCTGAGGGCAGGAGAGAGTTATCCTGAAGGCTGATTCACTCACACACACATATAAAGTGGCACCTTGGAAGTCAAACAGAATCTGTTCCGGAAGTCCGTTCGACTTCCAAACGTTCGGAAAACAAGGCGCGACTTCCGATTGGCTGCAGGAAGGTCCTGCAGCCAATTGGAACCCGCGTTGGACGTTCAGGTTCCAAAGAACATCTGCAAACCAGAACACTCACTTCTGGGTTTGCAGTGTTCAGGAGCCAAAATGTTCGACTCTAGGAATTTGGGATCCAAGGTATGACTGTATACACAAATAGCAGCAATGCTGAACCTCCTACATGGGAGACACTGGGGCTTGAACTTTCTTGCATCAACTGGAAGACCACACAAATGTTTAAATGTGACTGCCACAATAGCAATGCCTTTTCTCTCTTTTCCGAGCAGGCCTAATCGCAGGAGCGCCACCTTCCATCTCTTCTTTGCGATCACTTGCTAGGCAGGTGCTAGTTACTCCTATTAGCATAGTTCTGACTGGGCTTGTTCTCTTGTCTCCCAAAGAAGGGAGTTGGGGTGGGTGGGTTGAGGGCTGTCAGCGCAGCTTCCTGAATGAAGATTGATGAAAGTCATTTTGCTAAGAGGAGCTGCACATCAACTGTAAAGATAGACGCGGTGCTCCGAGCACCGCCTGGCTCATTATCTAGGCTAGAATCTGCCTGCCTGCCTGTGGGAAGCATCTGCCTGTGTTCCTGTTTAAACAAGGCAGGTCTGGGTAACAGCCAATCTTTACGTTTCAAACATGGGGGTCACTCATTGCTTCTTCATCCCAGAATCCTAGACGTAGCTTAATAACTGCAGACAATTGAGCCAGTCTGCAACCTCCACCTTCAAACTGAATAAAAATGCAGGCTCACACCTTCAACAGCGGGTCTATTTTGTTCTGTTTTTGATGTCCTTATCCACACAGCCTCTGCTTTGGGTAACATCCTGCCTGATCATGCATACCAGAGAACTCAAAAGTTGCAGCTGGCACACCATTTTGCAACGTTTTGGTTGGCCATAATAAAGGTGTTGCCCAACTGTGGACTTGAGGGCTCTGCTTCCCTAGCTTACATATCAGCATGGCTGCCTTTTGTTGTTTTTTCCAGCTGCCCCTACTTCTGCCAACACTATAGAGGCAACCATTTAAAGCCACTTAAGATAGTACTATGACTGATGCTGCTTGGGAAGGATTTTCTCTCAATTGGCTAAAACCTGGTAAATGTCATCGGTTCTCAAGCCAATCAACATTCATGGAGGGATGTGTAATTCAGACAACCAACATTTCCCCATACAGGGGTCAGCAAACTTTTTCAGCAGAGGACCAGTCCATTGTCCCTCAGACCTTGTGGGAGGCCAGACTATATTTTGAAAAAAGAAGAACAAATTCCTGTGCCCTGCAAAATAACCCAGAGATGCATTTTTAATAAAAGCACACATTCTACTCATGTAAAAATACCAGGCAGGCGCCACAAATAACTCAGAGATGCATTTTAAATAAAAGGACACAATCTACTCACATAAAAACATGCTGATTCCCAGACCGTCCGTGGGCTAGATTTAGATGGCGATTGGGCCGGATCCGGCCCCCAGGCCTTAGTTTGCCTACCCATGAGCTACACCACAAAGGAATGAAATTACAGTGCAGAATTCAGAGCTGGTAATGGTGAAGAGGAGGGAGAATCCAGCAGCTGCAGCAAAGCCCCTTAAAGCACAAGGGCTTAAGTGGAGCCCAAGGTTATCTGTCAAGGCAGCCATGAGTCCCTGATCCTGCAACTGAAGGGAAGGCAGCCAGGAAGGCAATCAAACTGTGTTCCAGGTTCAAGGTTCGACCCAAGGATGGAACTGAAGGATAACCAAAGAAACCTCTTGAATATGAATAGGCAGATGCGGATCACATTTTAAAAGCAGATTCCTATTAAAGGTTGTAAAACATAGTTTGATACAGTTTTGCAGCAGACAACTGAATTGGAAAATTCAAGAAGTCCAAAAGCTAGTTAACTATGTTCCAATATGCATATTAGTTCAACAGCAGATCAGCTTGAGCTGGAATTTGCAAATATCAAATTAGCCAAGTGTGGGACTGGGGGAAGAGGAGGTTTTGGAGTGGCTTGAGGTCTTTCTTCTAGGAAAAGATATGAGCCATGGTACCTGCACTGGCATGAAGCACAACTGTGGTGCAAAATTTGGATGGTTTACCGCACAATTCTACCAATGACCACTCAGAGGAAGCCCTATTGAATTAAATGGGGCTTACTCCCAGGTAAGTGGGGCTATGATTGCAGTCTTCATCATGCATGGGGCATATTGCTGCATGCAACTGTCATGTGGGATGTCACGCCACAATTATCTTGCATAGGTTTGTGTGACTTTTTTCAACATCCCACCCAAAGATGCCGCAAAGGTCCAGCTTTTACAAAAGGAGGCTATGCAATTACATTCCTCACTGCACAGCGGTCAACTAGCTATCACCTGCAAATCTGAGAAAAACAAGCTTTGGGACAGTTGTGCTACTGAGTCTGGCAGTTTAGTGGTATGCCCCAGGGTCTGCATCTACAAGTCAGCCTTAGTGGATTGGACCTGTTTAAGAAATCTTCCCTGAACCCACCATTATTACCTGGGCTTTGTATACTTGCTTTCTACTTCCTCCCTGTACTTTTCCATTTCTTCCCCTCAGAGCCATTTGCTAGCAGATCTACTGCTGGTTTGTTTGTTTTTTAATGTTACTCAGTGCCATTGTTACTCAAGTCCTCTCTTTGCTAGTTCCCAGCTGTAGTCAAGGTTTGTTCTTTTTTATCAGGTTTTTTTAAAAATTCATTTGATTCCTCTTCAGCCTACAACGTCAGCATAAAAGTCTCAAGTTCCCTTTGGCAACTCTGGAACATTTCCTTCAAAGCTACCAACGCATCACCCAACAAAATAACCATTCCCTCGCTATTTCTGTCCTGCTTTGCCGACTCAGTGAGGTGCTAGAGAACGGAGCATACGTGATTCAACACCATAAAAAGCGCACGAGGCAACAATGCAGAAACTAAAGGTTAAATACATAAACCAGCAGAAAATATAAACCCACTAGTATGCCAACTAGGAAGTGGGTAAAAAGTATGATCAAGAACACACATTAAAAACTTTTAAGAAATTGAAAGCCTATTGAACAACAACAAAAGTCTTCAGCTTCGAATGAAGCGTCATCAGGAAGGTAGCCAAATCAATCTTCTGGGGCAGGGCATTCAGCAACAAAGAAGGTCCTATCACATCCTCCTGCTAAACAAGCCACAGATGTACAACAAGGCCTCTCCCTTAACCTTAGAAAACAGCCATGTGAATATGGCAAGAAGCAGTTGGCAGCCTTCCTCAAGGTAGGTGCTGGATTCCTACTCTGGTCAGCCAGCAAGGGAAGGCTAGGCTAGAGGAGAGGTTTTCAACCTTTTGGAGTCCACGGCTCCCTTGACCAACTCCATTCTTTCTGCGGCACCCCTGTGGGGCTCAGGAGCCCAGCTATGTCAACCCTTGCCTGCAGAGCTTGCAGCCTCTCACCCTTTTTTGAAGACCCTCCCTTGTGGAGTGTTCCCTCAGTGTCTTCTCCTCAAGGCAGAGCTGCGAGAGGGCATCAGAGGAGGGAGGGAAAGAAAGAAGGAAGTTATAATTATATATAACCATGGCACACTGGTTGAAAACCACTGGCCTAGAGGAGTCTCGGCATCTTGGTTCTTTGCCATTTAGGGCCTGTGCAGCGTAATGTTTTGTATGTTTACTCAGCAGTTCCATGGGACTCCCTTCCTGGTTAGGTACAGGATTTCGGCCTTAAAAGATAAATAACCAGCGAACCAAACTGAACCAAGAAGCAAATGAGAAACCAGCATGGATGGTACAGCAAATGACTCATATGCTCTCAATAATTGGTCGAGGGCCAACTTCAGCCAGCAACAGGAGCATTTTTGGGGTAAATAACCTTTTTATTTATTTTGAAGGAAGAAGACTATGAAAACATTTCCAATTTACATACACAGGGTATAACACGACAAGAGCATTTTCGGACTAGGCTGGATTTTCATTAAGAACACTGACCTGCTCAAGCTGCAAGGAGACAGCAAGCCTGGACACTTCCTGCAATCCCCATCCTCAGAGACCACTATGCCAACCCAGGCTCTCCTCAGACCCCACCTCCGCCCATCATTTACCCCTTTCCTCCATCTCATCACCAGCTCCTCACCTACTTAGCTACTTCTGTAGTTTTCCTCTCCACACAGTTTAACCAATTTAATATCAACACTTCTCTTATTGTTCCCATGGGGTTCACAATGCACAATGAGGCTGATTATCCAAATCTTAATCAGTGGGATTCGGCTAGTAGAATTCCCTTCCCTGGTATCTGTTTTCAACACCCCACCTTTCAACCAAAGGGACTTCAAGGAACATGTACAAATAGTAGAAGTTTGTGAATCCAAGCATGAGCCACAATCCTTGCTCCCATAAAAAGGGGCTCACCCCTTCCCCCTAGATCTATGCTTCTTCAAACATCTAGGCCAAAACACCTCTTGACATCACCTCATCACTTCCTACTTCCACTCCTAAAAGCTTAAACTTCTTTGCCTAATTCATCTCAAATCCATTTAGCTTCAATATATATTTATAATTATTACACCTTTCTGACTCAGTTGCTCTCTCCCAGTGGATGAGACAAAAATGATGCTGAGAGAGGGAGAACAAGCTGGGAAACAGGCATGGTGGTAATTTAGGGTAGGCAAGAAAAACACAGATTGACTTTGTCAGAAATAGCATCCCTGCCCCCACACTTCTGACTCCTTTTTTAGATTTACCTTGTTCTGCTAGGAAGAAGTCGAAGTCTTTGAGACCTGACCTCTCCTACACAAGGAAGCAGCACTCGCCCCACACAGGCATGCTATCACGTAAGTTAGTGTGTCATACTGGGACCTGGGAGACAAGGGTTCAAATCTTCACTGAGCCATAAAACTCACTGGGTGATCTTGGGCCAGTCATCAATTCTCAGCCTAAACTACCTCACAGGGCTGTGAGGATAATATGAAGGGATGGAGACCTCTTTGGAGGAAAGATACATTTAATAATGTAGCATGTTGGTTGAGACACTAAGCCAGGGGTCAGCAAACCTTTTCAGCAGGGGGCCAGTCCACTGTCCCTCAGACCTTGTGGGGGGCCAGACTATATTTTGAAAGGGAAAAAAGAGAACGGATTCCTATGCCTCACAAATAACCCAGAGATGCATTTTAAACAAAAGGACACATTCCACTCATGTAAAAACATGCTGATTCACGGACCATCTGCGGGCCAGATTTAGAAGGCGATTGGGCCGGATCTGGCCCCTGGGCCTTAGTTTGCCTATCCATGCACTAAGCAATGATCTAGGAAGCCTCTCACCCCCCTTAGCACAATCTCAACTCTGTCACAAACTCACTTAATTGATCCAAGGCAATCTATTACAGTGGTACCTCGGGTTAAGTACTTAATTCGTTCCGGAGGTCTGTACTTAACCTGAAGCAAAGTTCTTAACCTGAAGCACCACTTTAGCTAATGGGGCCTACCGCAGCTGCTGCGCCGCCGGAGCACGATTTCTGTTCTCAACCTGAAGCAAAGTTCTTAACCTGAAGCACTATTTCTGGGTTAGCGGACTCTGTAACCTGAAGTGTATGTAACCCGAGGTACCACTGTATTCTTAGCCTGAGCTCCCATTTGCAATATAGTGGTAACAATATTGATCTACCTTACTGAGTTCTTATGGCAGATGCCACTTGTGCTACTTGCTTTACACCTGCTAATTCCCTGACACGTGCCAAGCCATTTTTGCATGCTTTGATTGTTACTCATCAGATGATCTCTGGGGACATTCCTGTCTCCTGTACTTTTTAAGGAACATAAACATTTCTCCTTTCCCCAGTCTACTAAAATTTCTCTTCCTCTTATCCTTTCATTGCCAAACACATGCATTAAAAGATTCTTTCTATTTCTTTTCATTGTTTCCACCCTAAAATCATATGTGGTCAGGCTCAAGCCTACACAATAGTTCTACTGTCTGACCTGGAAGTCTTTATGTGAATAAAGACACCCCTGCTCAGAAGAACTATAAAGTAGGTGCTTATACACATTACAAGTGCTACATGGTGACTGAAAGTCCCATATACAATCATTGCCATTAGGAGGCCTTATGCGAACTGCTCTACTCCATAGGAACTTACACTACAATAATTCTGATAAATCTTCTAGGTAGCAAAAGCCTGTTTTTGCAGCAACAGACTAAAATGGCAAGTGTTCCAAAAGTTACCACCTTACAGGGTTGATGCAAGGATGACTAAAGTATGAGCACTATAATTATAACTATTTTTATTAGAAATACTATTTGGTGACAGTCCTTCATTTTAGGCAACATCTAGCTTCTTCTCTCTTTTATTTTTGCCATTTCCCCTCACATGGCAACATCTAGCTTCAAAATAAGACATAGAACTATGAATCAGCAAGTTCCCAGTCCAAATCTTAGATCCATCATGAACTTTATAATGCCAAGCCTCAGTTCCCCATCTCTGCAAATTTGACCCCACTATTTATTTCCCTTGTACTGCCATGCACCTGTAGCTGTCAACAACGCGCAACACTTAAATCACCTGATGAAGTGGGGGATGTAGCCTGGGAAATCTCCACCCACAATAAACAAGGTTAATCTTCTAAGGTGCCATTATTTGTTGCAATAGACCCAAACCTGCAACAATATGGTTTTTATTTATCATAATTTTTATTATTATGGCAGCAGCATGTAGGTTAATAACGTTGCAGCTATGAGACTGAGGAAGACCCCAGGAGAAATTTCACCTCAGGGCCACAGCAGAAGTAAGCCACCCTCACATGAATGCACACATCTTAAAAGACCCACAACTACAACATGAGGAAGATTAATACTGACCTACCTTACAGGGCTGTTGTTAAGGATTCCTGACCTAATGCATGTGAATCATTTTGAACACACCAAAATTCAAAGTATTAATTCTCATCCTAACAATAATATATATCTATATGTATATCTATATCTATATAGATAGATACAGCTATATAGATAGATATAAATATATAGATATCTAGAAATGCCCCAATTTTCACGAGCCTGTCTTTCTTCTTTCCCTACGAGCTCCTCATCCTACACTGCAAGGCCGGGCTTCCCCCACCGCTAGACGTTTACCTGATGGGCCACTGCCTGCCCAAAGGCCTCAGCCTCCCCTCAGCAACAGGAACAAGGGATGGGGGGCAGGGAGAGAAATAGACGGAAGTAACCGCCACTTCGGACAGGACACTACTTCCTATCACGTGATCGCAGCGTGACCTGAAAAAAAACACAAGCCGGCACGCGCACCCTCCCTCGGTCAATTCTCCGAAAGCGAGAGCAAAAGGGAGCGGAGTCAGAGCGGGGGCGTGGAAAGCAGGAAGCGAGAAAGAGCGCTAAATGGTTGACAGCGGAGGGCAGGCGCGTGGAGGGGGTAGCTACGCCATTGGTTGGAAGGAAGCCGTTTGCGTGTCTCTCATTGGCTACGGTGGGAGAAGAGAGGCGAGATTTAGAGCGCGACGCGAAACGTTCAGGTCGTTGGGCGGGATTCCGTGTAAGATTCCACCCATTGGTTTCTTGGGAGGTGAAGGCTGTGGCAGTGATTGGTTGGGAAAAGAAGAGGAGGCGGGAGGTACTTATTGTCTGATAGCGGGTGGGAGTGCGGTAGGAGTGTTGATTGGTAGTTGTTGGAGCAATGAGACACTTTTATTGGCTGGAGGGAGGGGGAAAGGAGCAAAGGGGTTCGGCAGCTGGGAAAACATAAATACAAAAAGAATGGAGTGGTTGCGTTGGGATGGAGGAATGTGACGTGTGTGGAAGGAAAAGGTGCGGGAAGTGGCTGAAGTTTGTGAAACGGATCTATTAGGAGTCTGGGACGCACAGTAGCAGGGAGGGCCGAGCATACGTGTGTATAAAGCAGACACGTGTGTGAGAGATCAACTAACTGAAAGTGAGGTTTCATGGGGGTGGGTTGTGATTTTCGGGGAGAACTTGTGATCTCAGTGTCGGATGTTGGTGGGGAGAAATTAATTGCTAGCCTGGGGGTTTGTCCCCAATATTTTGTATTCAGGGGGAGAAAGGGAAGACACGTGTGTTGTGGCTGTTGTGCCGCTAGATGCTTTTGGACTACAGCTCCCATCATCCCTCACCAATGGCATTTGGAAAGCTACAAGTTCCCCAGTCCTGTTGTATGCGATGTAATCTGCATGTGTGCATGAAGAGACTAGGCTTTTGTGAGACATACTGCATTTCCAGTTCAGTTGTAATAGCAGCACCACCACTAGCAGTTGTGTATAATGTATTTCATACTGTAAAGTGACAACGAGGCAACTCTGAAATCAATTCCACTCCCATTAGTATTGTAGGTGGGGCTGAGTCTGAGGTGGAAAAGGAGATTTGCTCATGTAAGACAGGACGGAGTAAAAATTGTAAACCGTTTGGATTACGGCACACAAACATAGATCAGGGAGGCCGTGAGATGAGGTTGTTTTGTGTCTCTGTTGAAATCGGCAGGGACAGGTGACTGTTTCTTAGAAAGTGATCAACAAGTTTGTACAAGACCACATATGTTTCTAGCTGCTGTTTCATAACAGCTAGAGAGAGCTATCTCAGCTGTTGCTCACAAGTGTTTATTTGTTTCGAAGAAAGATATACATGGCCTTTCCCCCACCTTTTTTTGCAGAAACCTATGCACCTATAAGCCTGTTCCTTTGTTACTAAAGTTTTGAACTTTTTCATTATTAATACAGTTCTAGTTACATGTTTTGTATGTCTGTATTCCTTTCCTCATGCTGGAAAATTATGTAGGTGCCTAATTATGAATGACATTGCTATTTGCTGGTCTGCAAGCTTTGCAGCTCTACATTTTATAGGTGGTTTTTAAAGGTTGCGTAAAAGTGTAAGTACAGTAATACGTTGTCTGAATAGCAACTAAACTTGGAAGAGCGAGTGTGGCGTCATGGCTAGCAGGCAGTCCAACTTTTCATACCAAGTCTGCAAAAGTACTTCAATTCATGGGCCACACACTGCCTTTTTGCACAGCGGTGGTGGGGGGAGCAAGGCCGAAACTTGGTGCCCCCCCCTCCAGCCATCACACTGCTTTCTCAACACTGGTAAGCAAGTTGCTTCCGGATTCGGGAAGGAGGTGCAAGGCTGTGGCAGGTTCCTAGAGCCTTCCCACCCCCTTCCCAAAACTAAGAAAGCTCTAACTAAGCTTTAGGAAGGAGGTGGGAGGACTCCAGGGCCTTCCAGAGCCCTCATGCCTCCTTCCCAAAGCCCAGTTCTGCACTTACCTGGTTTTTAGGAAGATGCTGTGGAGGCATCAGATGCTGCCAGAAAAAGGCTTTGAGGGCCACATGTGGCCCTTGGGACGTGCGCTGGACCACCCTGGGCTAGAGTGTTAGGCTAGGACCTTGGGGACCTCAAATCTCCTCAGCCATGAAGCTCACTGGGTGATCTTGGGCCACTCACCTTCTCTCAGCCTGACTTCAAAGGGTTGTTGTGAGGATAAAATGAAGAGTGAGGAGTGCCACGTCGAACTCATTGGAGGAAAAGTGGAATATTAATTTAGTAATATTCCTTTAAATAAATAAAAATATATTTTTGATGGCATAGGTCATCTCTGTTAAAAGAGAGGGGTGGGGAGTTTATGGTCCTGGAAATATTGTTGGCCTACTATTCTCATCACTCCTGAGCCATTGGCCACACTGGCTAAGGTTCTTGGGGGTTGGAGTCCAACATTTTCATTTAGGAACATTTCCCGCAGAAAAAAATAGCTGTTGAGTCCTGCGATATCTAAATCAGTGCCTTAATCTGGGAGAATATTATTTCAAGTTTTGTTCTTCAGTTTTAACTTGCTTTTCAGACCAATCCCAACATGGCTCACGTAAGTCAGAAATTCAGCATAGTCATGGTGAAAATGAAGCATATGAAAACGTTACCTCTGTTTTCAACGTGCAGTTATGGTTGCAATCCTTTACCCCCCTTAATAATAATAATAATAATAATAATAATAATACAATGCAGTCACAGCAAAGAAAAGTACACAGCATTTAGTTTATGGCATCATTTTACCAAAACATTGGCAGTCCTTATAGATTCTCCACAGACAGGTTTGTGAGGCTGATGGAAAAGCTTTACTTTCTTCTTCCCTTACATATGGGAAAAAGGGGAGATCAGGTTTTCTTGCAATCCTAAGCACGCTTAGGAACAAGTAAGTTCCATTAGACACAGTGGGACTTACTTCCAGCTAAACATGTATAGGGTTGCACATTGTAAGCCTCTCTTCCATTTCTATAGCAGACGTTTCCTCCCTGAGAATTCTGCCTTCAGATTTTATAGAATTGCCACCTTAGCATGCAGCCTGGAGTCTGAAATCCAGCTGTGTTACTGACAAAGATAGCAGTCAGAATATTTAGCTGAATCATTACCTACCTAATTTTTTTTCTGTTTTGTCAGTCATGCATTTACAGACACACAAACAAATACATAATGAAGTTTTGTGTTTAGAGGTATGTGTTTTCTGTAACTCTGTGGTGTTTGTTTTATAAAAGATGATATAAATAAACCATTTTTTCCCCATTATATGCAGTCTAACGCCATCCCTGTTTGTTTGGGAATAGGTCCCATGCAGAAGGCTGCCATTATTTTAAGTCGGCTTTTCATACATGCATTCCACACTGATGGCCCTCACTGCCTATCATGGAAATCTTAATGCTTACTAGGCAACATGCTTAGAAGACTCCGATTGTAACCAAGAAAAACACATGGAAAAGGAGAAGCTCCCACTTGTATACCATTTCATTGGGCAATTTCGTAGCTGAGCTTTAAAAATAAATAGCCTGATTGGTCTGGCGTCAGATTGGCCAAATGGCAATCATATACTGAGAGAGAAATGCAATATTTACACAAAGTTGCACACCCATTCTGGAAAATAAACAGCATTCAATGTGTGAATTTGGAATGCTTGCAAATCCCTGTGGACTTAATCTTACTGAGGAAGGTATTCCAGACACAGGAAGCTACTGATCCACAATTTCCTCGCCTCAATGCAACAGCCTTTAGCCACGCTGAGCCCGGTCTTGCCCGGGGAGGGCGGGGTATAAATACAAATAAATTTACTTACTTATTTACACCTGGCCCATACAGTTCTTTGCACAAACATGCATGTATTGGATACAAGGAGTGGATGCATTGTCTTGTTGCAGTGAAAGGAAGATTCATTGAGAGGGTATTTCTCCTGCCGGGTATATTGCTTGCCAGAAAAATCAGGCTGACTGCTTATTATTTATTATTTAGGAAGCATATAAAATAAAGTGCTGCACTAAGACAAAAAGCAAGAGACAGTCTTGCTTGCAGGCTTTCAGTCTTAAGAAAGGGGAAAGGACAGGGAGGAAAAGAAGAAAAAGCAAAGTCAGACACCGTTTCTTAAAGTAGTGTAACAGTAATGTAACTGTCTTAGGGCTGCCTCAAGACATTGTGCCACTCGAGGAAGGTGGGCCTGCTCTTCCTGCTGCCGCCTCTGGCTTGAAATAGTTTTTGCTGCTGCGTTAGCACAACAGTGTCTAAGTCCTCCTGGGCTATCTTCTGCCATGATCCATGTGGTTGGGACCTGAGAGACCAAGATTCAAATTCCCACTTGGCCATGAAGATATTTGGGCCTGTCACTGCCTCTCAGCCTAATGTACCTCACAGGGTTGTGGGGGGATTAAATGAGGAGGGGAAGAACTGGGGGGTGGAGGGAGAAAAAGGTGGGATAGAAATGCAGTAAATAGATACCACACTGTTTTCTTTGCTTGCTGCATCTGGCCTGTCTCCCCCACCTCCCCTAATTTGTACCGTCTGCTGTGGAGTGACCAGTGGTGGTCCCAAAGAGTAGGTAAAAAAAAGGTAAATGACCCCTGGATGGTTAAGTCCAGTCAAAGGCGACTATGGTGTTGCGGCGCTCATCTCGCTTTGAGGCTGAGGGAGCCGGCGTTTGTCCACAAACAGCTTTCCGGGTCAAGTGGCCAGCATGACTCAACCACTCCTGGCACAATGGAACACTGTGACAGAAACCAGAGCGCACGGAAACGCTGTTTACCTTCCCGCCACAGCAGTACCTATTTATCTACTTGCACTGGCGGGCGTTCGAACTGCTAGGTTGGCAGGAGCTGGGACAGAGCAAAGGGTAGCTCAACCTGTTGCGTGGATTCGAAGTGCCAACCTTCTGATCGGCAAGCCCAAGAGGCTCAGTGGTTTAGAGACCACAGTGAAAGTGTCCCAAAGAATAATGCTTTGGTATTTACTACTGTTAAACTTTAAACCATGTTTGTTGTAACAACGGCAA